GTGCCCGGCAGGCCAAGTGTCAGATGACTAGAGCCGCCCAGGAGCGGCTTTCCAGCGACCTATCTTGGGAGACTGTCAGGAAATCCTCCAGCTCCCTCCACCCTCAGGACAGATGACTCTGAGGTTCAGGTCTCCAGTGAGACTATCCCAGGTCCCCACAGTGGCAGCTGCCTTAATGGCACACCTCGATTGACTCCCTTCTTCCTGGGTCTCCCTCCAAAATAAGCATCTGACCCTTGAATCCTTGCTCAGGCTCTGCCTCTGGGGGAGCCTAAATGAAGGCAGGGTCCCTCATCAGTCTGCTGTGGTCCCTGCTCTGAGCTCACCAGGGGCGAGCTCCTGCCAGGCTGGCAGCTGCATCCCTGGTCCAGAGCATCCTTCCTGGGCATGTGGCTCAGCTTCAGTCAGTGCCAGTGAAGGAAGCACATGTGCTTGTTTCGCTCTTCAGCCAACCAGAGAATCGAAGGATGCTGGCTGGCCTGCGGAGCCCCCTGGTTTGGGGCCTACTTGTGCCCAATTGTTTGCCTATCAAAGGAAGAATGGACAATTGTTGCTGGAGGCACTGTTATTTAATACTTTCTCTTCCTTTGTGATGTTCTAAGCTTTTCATGGAACTGACAAACTGGTGGGGGCAGGTGGGGTGGAGAGGTGAACACTTGTCTTTAAAATACATGGATGATCTTGACCCTTCTCTTGTTAGAGAAATTCACAAGCTCCTTGGCATTTGTGATCCCTGCTAGAAACATAGCCCTGTAGCCATTATTCCTCTGACTTTAATTAAATTGAGAATGATATCTCACCTGCAAGATAAGCCAAAAAAAAAATAATAAAAAGAGGGAGCGAGCAAAACTAGGAGATGTCCTTGTTTCTCTCTGCTTTAGCTCTGCATTGTGAGCATTTTTTTAAAAGGGAAAAATTCAGATTATTTATTGACTAAAATCTAATACAACTTTCTTCCTTTATTAATAATTATCCTTATTACTATAGAAACAGTACCCAAACAAACAGAAATTACCTGCAATTTTCTCTTGTCAAAGTTCACTCAGAAGAGTGGGCAGCTGAAGTGAATCCCCAGGAATACTTGAAAAATTATATAATTATCTACAAAGTGTACTAATGGTGCTAAAGCAAATGGCTTTTCATTTCTCTTGCCATCTTTGACCTCTTAGCACAAATAATCCCAGAGAGAGAGAGAGACTGCAACCACTTGCTCGCTAATGGGTAGGGGTAACTGCTGTGAGATTTGAAGCTATTTCTGGCAATTTCTGATAATTAATTACCTGAAATAGAGCGATGCTATATAGTGGACAGAGAAGAAGATAAGACTGCAGCAGAGATGACATTTGGAGCCTGTTTAGCTTAGGGGAGACGGTTATGGGACAGATGGGAGGGCCCCCAGATGTGGTGTGTTTGCTCCCCTGGTTCTCAGGAAGTTGGCCAGAGGAATGGGGTTTCTGATGACTGGTCCAGATAACTTCTCCCTGGAAGAAAAGTTAAACAGTGCATTTTCGGTGGTTGATACTATGCTGAGAAGGTTAACAATTGCAGTTGATATGGGGCATTTCAGCAGGTCCAGGGGTCACCACAGAAGGTGAAGATCGCCATCTTGGGGGAAGAGAAATGGAATGACTTGCCGAAAGTAGTTCAGTCTTGATCAAAAATGGATATTCTGGGCTTTCCTGGTGGCTCAGTGGTAAAGCAGCTGCCTGCCAATCCAGGAGACACAAGTTCCATCCATAGTCCAGGGAAATCCCACGTGCCTCAGAGCAACTAAGCCTGGGAGCCACAACTACTGAGTCTGTGCCCTAGAGCCTGGGATTTGCAACTACTGAGCTGATGTAGCACAACTACTGAAGATCGTGCACCCTAGAGCCGGTGCTTCCCTACAAGAGAAGCCGCTGCAATGAGAAGTCTGTGCACTGCAGCTAGAGAAGAGCCCATGAAGCAATGAAGATCCAGCACAGCCTTAAATAAAAACAATAAAATAAATAAATGTTTTAAAAAGTAAGACATGGGCTTCAACATACTTCTATTAGACTCTATTAGATGAGTTCAGTTTGTGAAGTGAGTGAAAGTCATTGAGTCGTGTCCGACTCTTTGCAACCCCATAGATAGTCCATGGAGTTCTCCAGGCCAGAATACTGGAGTGAGTAGCCATTTCCTTCTCCATGGGATCTTTCCGACACAGGGATCGAATCCAGGTCTCCCTCATTCCCGGCGGATTCTTTACCACCAGGGAAGCCTGAGTTCATTTAATTGAATAATAAAAAAATGGGGACAGGGTGGGGAACTTTTTTAAATCAAGCTGAGCCTGCCCAAGTCTTTCTGTGAGTTTGATGATGTCATCAAAACCTCTCTTTCGACAAGTTGAAATTAACCAAGGTTGCGACCACCTCTGTGTATAAGAACTAATGGATCATGAAAGAGGGAAAGCATTTATTCAGAATTCTTTACCTAGGACTCCCTTAGGCTTCCTGGAGAAAAAATATATCAGCTCACACTTGGTTGCTGCCCTTAGGACTCTCAGATTAGCCCACTATGTTCATGCATGAGCCAGTTAATCAGCAGTTCAGCGGTGGCTTGTTTGTAAGGAGATGGAGAAGGAGAAGTGGGTTTGGGCATGGTTTTTGGCCCAGGCAGGGGACATAAGACCTCTCTTCCTCCTGGAGCTGCGACCTGAGTGTGAGATGCTACTTACTGTTCACCACAAACTCTGAAGCCAAGAGGAAGTCAAACGCACGCGAAAAAGAACCTTCTCTCTTTAGTGACTGAAGAGGCTCAGAAGTGAGGGGTGTGGAATCAGTGTTGACACAGAGCCGGCTTCGAGTGGAGTGGGGAGGCTGTTTAAATAATAATAAAACACTAACTGAATGGGAAGATCCATTTGTGTATTGGTTTCTGAAATGAAAGACAAGGACTGCTTTGCCTGTAATTGCTGTCAGGCTTTAAGCAAGCCTCTTTTCAGAACTCTCCTTTTCATGCGCCCGTGAAAATTGTTACCAAGCAACAAAGCAGGTCTGCAGTGGTGTGAATTCAGGAGTGATGGACGTGGAGACCTTCCAGCCAGCGGCCACTGAGTGACGCCCGGGCTCTGGCTGGGGCAGGGCTGCCGGATGTTCAGGATGGGACTGGGGGTGGGGGGGACAGGGTGTGAGGTTAAAAGTATTATAAATAAATGAACAGATGTGTTTTCACGCACCGCACAGCAGCTCTGTATGGTCTGATTTTTTTTTTTTTGCTGCAAGATGGTAGCATCAAAGGGTGGGTGTGCATCTCTTTGTGGGGACAGTTATGTCCAGTTCAGCCTTGGCCACCCGAAGCTGAAGGAAAAGTCCTGATTCAGGACTCCAGGGAGACCTGAGAACAGGGTGGTCCTGAAGCCTCAGTTCCCTTTCTGAAGCACAGCAGTGAACTGACCACCAGGGGCCTGGACCCACTCAGTCTCCCTCAGTGGTACCTGGAAAGTGGATCGGTCAGGTCTCATCAGCACTACCTTGTCCCCTCCGAGTCGCTGCTCTGACCTGGCTGTCTCTGTGCCTGGAAACCCTTGGAGGCTGACCCAGCTCCCGTGCAGCACTGGTTGTACTTGTCTGAGGGCGTCTGAGGCAAGTCCTCTGTTGTTTCTCAGTTGTAATTCCCTCCAGCTGGAGATTCTGCCCTCATTTGGGGACTACCTAGCCTGATTCTTGGTCACTGGCTGCCTTCCCCAGGAACGATTTTTTCCTCCAACTTGAATGACTCATCCACCACCTTTGTGGTTTCCATCACGTCCACCTACCACAGCTTGTTCCACTGCAAGACACAGCAGTTCACTTGCTAGAAATGCAGACAGACAGATATAAAATAAGCGAGGCAAACCATGCAAGAATAGAGAGTGAACTTTAAGTGTACAACACACGGTCACTCCTGGATGATGAACATGAAGCAAAAGAAGTCAGATGTGAAAGCGCACGTCCTGTGTTGTTCTGTGGATGGGAATGTGAAGAACAGGTTAGGGTTGGAGGGCTAGAGCACAGAGGAACATGAAGAGTGCTGAAAATGCTCTGTCTATACCTGGGGGCTGGGGGCAGGGGGTGATTACACCAGTGAGGTTTTGGGACTTTTAAGTGCTCTGGACTGTCTCTGGGTAAGTTATCCCTCAGTTTAAAAGAAAAAGGAGACCCAAAGTCCCTTGCCTAAATAGAGTAATTTGGTTTGGGCCCTTGGCAAAATCAGAGATTCTCCCCTCTGGGTTGGACTAGTTGACTACCTTGGGGGAGACAAGGGGGGGGCAGAACTTTCTAGAGATCTCTCCAACCTCAGAGGTGTGGTTCCAGAACCTGCCACAGACCCAAGACCCAAGATGCTCATGTCCCATCGTGGGATCTCTGTTTTGGATTCTCTGCATCTGTGGAATCAACCAACTGTAGATCCTGTAGGAATAAATGTATTCATTGGAAAAAAAAAACTCAGTATAAGTGGATGTGCACAGTTCAAACCCACATTAATAAAGATCCAACTGTAGATACATAGGCCACAGTTAGATAGAAAAATGACAGATAGATGATTGATAAATGATTGATGGATAGATTGTTGTTGTTCAGTTGCTCAGTTGTGTCAGACTCTGCCGCCCCATGGACTGCTGCATGCCAGGCTTCCCTGTCCTTCACTGTCTCCTGGAGTTTGCTTAAATTCATGTCCATTGAGTCAGTGATGCCATCCAACCATCTCATCCTCTGTAGATAGATATAATGGAAGAATGGACCATAGAGGCAAAACTGAGCAATTAGGGCCCACGAAATCTTACTGCATTCCCGACTGCTCTTGGCCTGGCCAAGGTGGTGGTGGCCTGGACCCAGGCAGTGATAGTGAAAATGAGAAGTGTTCAGAGGCTCTGTGTGTCTCTCAGATAATTCTGGCCAGATTAGCTGATCCACAGGAGGTGGGGTAGGAAGGGGAGAGAGTCAGTGCTGACCTGGGGGGGCTTGTTCTGCAGTAGACACCCATTTCCTCTTGCCCAGTGTCAAGAGCATTTTGGCCTGCGAGATTCCAAAGCCTGGTGAGTTCAGATCCTCCCCAGATGAGGACGATCTCCAGGACAACCGGGACCAAGCAGAGGAGAAGGTAGGTATGTCCACGGGGAAGCTGGCTTCTGTCTCTAGGAGGAGCTGTCATCACGAGTGACCCCTGGCGGCTCCTGAGTGCAGACACGGTCCCTTTGACATCAGCCTTATGCAGCATCTGTGGGGAGAGGGGTGGGAAGGGGCAGGGAGGGGCTCCCTTTCTGAAGCGGGCTGTCTTCCCTTGTGTCAGCTCCTCGGAGCCCTGACACCAGGACTCTCCTTGCAGAGCGCTTGATGATCAAAGTGTGTGTGTGCATCCTGTTATCCCGAAGCCTGTCTCCCCCCTGCCACTTTCAACGAGATTTCTGAGTCGTTCCGGGCACCTTCAGAGGAAGCAGTGCTCTCACTCTGGCTGGCTCATATGGAGCAGCTCAAAGAAAAGCGTCTTTGAAAGCTTCCTCGCCTGTGTACTGCTTCCGTGAGCGCGGCCTGCTTTCCCGGGCTCCTGGCTCTGGCCTGCAACTCTCTGATCCATCTCATTTCCAAGTCCTTTGTGCAGAGTCCTAGCAGCCGGCTCAAATGGGAGCAATTAGCTTCAGTGGGTAATTAGGCTTCTTTGCTGGCACTGGGCTTGAGCTGCAGGACATAATCGACGATTTTTACTTCAAGTCCACTTTGTATCACCTCTCCCAAGCCTGAATCAAATGGTATGGTGTTTAGAAAACCCAATTACATTCCAGGAGCTTCCAAAACACTCACAATATGTTCTAACGAGGCTTCTTGCCATTAGCTTTAACAATGAATCTCTTCCCTATCTTTGCTATTCAACATTTCCCTGTTTATAAGGACTTAAAAGCTGACGCTCTGACACTTTAGCCACCTGATGCGCAGAACCGACTTATTGGGAAAGACCCTGATGCTGGGAAACATTGATGGCAGGAGGAGGAGGGGGCAACAGAGGATGAGATGGCTGGATGGCATCACTGATTCAGTGAATATGAGTTAGAGCAAACTCTGGGAGATAATGAAGGACTGGAAAGCCTGGTGTGCTGCAATCCAAGGAGTCACAAAGAGTCAGACACGACTGAGGAACTGAACAACAACAAAAGACAAAAGTATCTCCTGACCACCCTGTATCCTATCACGGGTCAGCCTCAGGCTGGGGAGCCCAGGGTGCTGCTTTGGCAGCTTGGGTCATACATTTCACAAAGGGGAAAGACAGTGAAGATGAGGAGGGTTGTCTTAGAAAGATTTCACCACCCAATGGTCACAAACGGCATTGAAAGGTGATCTTAGGGGTCAAAGAAGAGGGACTTGTGGGAATTCCCATGACATCATTTGTTAAGACCCCACTTCCTACCGAGGTCACCACCTTCAAAGACATGGCTCCTATTAATGTAGAGAAGGATCTTTGCAGGGTCCCTGAACTGTCAGGCATCCCCACCTCTCTCTCCCAGACATTTCTGTTCATTACTCTTAACTCTGTTCTCTACAACACACAGTCTGGGAAGAAACTCAACAGAGTGGGGGCATTTCAAGTGCTTGAAGGGACATCTGTGACCTTGAGATACCTTTATCTTGCTAGTCACACACTCCTAGGTCCTCCAAAGTTCCTAGGTCCTTCTGTTCACACCTGTGTCCCCCACTTGGACAGGGATCCACAAGCCAATACAGTGGCTTTATGCCAAGGGAAAAGCATCCATCCAGGTGGGTGAGCTAAGCAAAGGCAATTCCTCTGGGAGGTACCTGTGGGCATCTGGCTGAGCCAAAGGCAATTCTGTGCTAAGCAAGAAGGAGACCAAGGACATGGGGAAATTCAACCCCCATTCACCATGATAGTCAGGGTCTTTGGAAGATGCTGTGATCTTGCCAAGAGTAGGCACCATGTTCTGGAAATTAACAAGTGGAAGAGCTGGTTCTCACACAACAGGGATGGACACTCATTGGACAGGCAAGCATCACAGGGATGCACATGAGGAAATAACATCTAATGGCCATTTCCACCTTGGGGTTCATGTTTGTAGAGCCTGAAGGATGAGGAAGTCAGGAGAACAATAAGTCATGGGAAGTGCCATCCTGGGGAGAAAGGGACCCCAACTGCTGTGGGACCTGGTGGGGTCCTGGCTCCACCCCTGCTCACTTTGGCCACATGTTTACTCCCCCCTAGTCTTGGTTTCCTTGTTTATAAGACAGGTGGGGGGATGCACACCCACTTCAGAGAGCTGTTCTGAGAGACAAAGGCTGTGATTTCTGTAGTGCTGCTTGCTAAACTTCTATGTCCCATATGTACTTAAGGTAGGATTATGTCATCTAATTCATGTTTGGCCAAGATTCAGAGCATCTTGAATTTGCACAGAGAAAAAGCACTCAGGAGCATGGTGAGAAAATTGAAGGGCTCTCCTCACTTTCCAGGAAACGATATGGGAGCCAGGTGGATCTGCTAGGGCTTAGAGCAGGAAATAAAGACCACTTGATGGGGTAGAAGGAGACAGTGACTTAATATGAGGAGTCAGGTGTTTGTGAACTGGCTGGACAGGTAGGGAAGTGAATGCTAGTGATGCACAGACCAGTCAGCCAACATAGACCACATATCCTGCAGAAATGACCTGCCAGGGGGCTACCACTTCACCTACCTTTGGGAAGGTGGGAAATTGGGAGACCCACCGATCTATTGATGACATGTGGGACTGTGATCTCCCCATCTGGGTGCTAGGCTACGATCATAACCACCAAGATTCTCAGGCTTCATCCTGGCCACCACTTCCTGGAATGCAGGCTGATGACCTCACACAGACTGGTTGAAACCAGACAGAAGGAGCAAGAATATGCTTCCCTTCCGTGTTCTACATCCCAAGGAGAATGTCTGATAGGCAGAACTAAATACTTGCCACCTGTTGCTGTTTAACAGGCTATCATAAATTTAGCACATGTTGATTATCTCGTAGGTTCTATGGGTCAGGGGGCTTGGCTTGGTTCTCTGCCTTGGAGTTTCTTAGAGGTGGCAAAGAATGTGCTGGCCAGGACTGGGGTTTCATCTGAAAACTTGACTGAGGAAGGACCTGCTTTCAAGTTCTCTTAACTGCTGGCCAAGTCCATTCTTCCAGGACTGTTGGGCTGAGGTCTTGACTTCTTGCAGGCTGTTGGCTGGAGGCTATGCTCAAGGGATTGTTGGGGCCACCTGAGTGTCAGCTTACTGCAGAAGGGACTCTGGAAAATATCGCTTTTGGTTGATCAACATCAGCAGGACAGGAAGCACTCAAGAAAGAAGTGTGAATGGATACCAAATTCCAACTGACCGTATTAGTGAGCAGGAGGAAATTAAACAACACCCAGCACAACAAGGAAGACCTTCAGTGGATCTAGTCTGGCAAATGGCCTTCCCTACCTGCCTATCTGGTGACTATCAGGTCTTTGCAGGTCTAGCGGCAGCTCAGAGGCCACTTTCTACAAATGCCCCTGCAGATGAGCCAGGTCAATGAAGCAAGGTCACATCCTATTGCTGGAAGGAGCCTTCTGCTCACAGAAGAAGATAGTATATTAGAATCAGTAATACAGTAGCAACCCTCAGCCCCTCCATCCAGTCCTGGAGTCTCCACCTGGACATCACTCATCTCTCTGGCCCCAGGATCCTGATCTGATAAACGGGATCATGATGGTCTGTACCTCCCAGTGTGGTGAAGAGCTGATAACCATAGAATTATTAATGTTTTAAAATAATTGAGCTCTTAGCACATTTTCCAGAGCATGGTAAATACTCAAAAAACATCGGCTATTTTTATTTTTCAGCCAGATGCCCTCTTTCCCCAGATGAGGAGACTGGGCCAGAGGGCTAACGTGACTTCAAAGATTTTCAGTAGCCAAATGGTCCTGTGGCTGGTTAGTTAGTGGTGACAGTGAGTCCAGAAGCCAGTCCTGCAGCCTTTTTACCATAATCCTCAGGAGAGATGTTTCTAATAAAATAGACAATTCTTTCCCCTGTTTAGGTTGGAACATATGAGACTGGATTTTAGTTGCTTTATTATTATTATTTTTAGGAATTATGTACTTAAGATTTTAGTACTTAAGTACTTTAGTACTTAAGATTTTATGTACTTAAAATTTAGCAAATTTTAAATTTGCTGCATGTTGACGAGTTATGGGAGACACACTCCCCTCTACAGCCTGATTACCTGGGTACATGTATGGCTGGCTGTCTAGTGTTCACAGAAGTCCCTGGCTCCTTGATCAAGGAAATACCCATGCCTTGACCTCTGCCCCCAGTGGCCCTGGATCTGAAACTAAGATCCTTGAAACTCAGGCAGAGGGACAGCTGGTTTCCTGTGATGAGTCTGCACTAGAGAAACCCAACAATGTTTTTTCCTGATTTACTTGAAGATCATTGCTTCCAAACGGGGTTTGGTTTGGTCTCTGTATCCTGCTTACTGGTGTTTCTCTGACAGATAAAACCTGGCGTGACTTGGATCCTTCATTAACTAGGCTGAACGGGACAATATCTATCACTGATGTGCTGTCATAGGCAGGTAAGTCCCGTTGGCCATGGCTGCGCTCTGAGACTAGCAGAAGGATGAATAGATGGCAGGCAAGGGTGGCAGCTCTCGAGCTTGGAGGTGACACTCCAGCATCTTGAGATGGCCTTCGAGGCCAGTGAGAGGCCAAGTTGGTGTATGACCCTAGGGGGACATTCCCAGTTGAGAGGTGAGCAGGAAGCCCGTCCCTCAATTCACATCTAGTGGTTCCAGCTTCCTGGTGACCCTGAAGATCAATCTGGGCAGGATGGAGGATGGGAGGAACTCTTACGTCTACTCACAGAACATTTCACTAGACCCTCTTCTGGGGACACTCTGCAAGAGCCCCCTGGGGGGATGACATCACCAGTGTTAGAGTTGGTTGAATTTTTGTGTTTAAAATAAAATGTGTAAGTGTGCAGGGACGGGGGAGGGTGGTTGGGGTGCACAATCAATTCACCCAGAGTATTAAAACAAGAACCTCACCCAGGCATCTTGCAGGGTCTCTGTTTAATTGGTCCAAGGTGGGACCCTATTGTTTGTATTTTTCAGAACACCCC